GAATTTTTTTTTTTTTGCTACAACATAAACTTAGAGAATTAATGCTGATACAAACACTTGCAAGTTTTACTTGTTTAACTGCCCTGATAACTTTTTACCTTTGTCACCTAACTTTTTACCTTTTTTTTCCTTTTTAACTTTTTAAAACTTTTTTAAATTTAATTTACAGTAGGTCATACATTATTTGAAGACCAATCTAAGTGGTCAAAGCCCAAAAAAACGTGCACAGTACAACCACATAGCAGCTTTTTTTGTTGAAAGACTGGATATAAATCTTGTGCTTCTAGACCTTACTGAATGATGGGGCATGCAGGGGTATGCAACATGTACTATAAAAGGTTCAAGCTTTTTAGGAGCAGACTAGAGATTTGTGAGCAATTTCTGATCTTCTGGCGCTAAAGAGCTCTAATTTGTTTATAGCAATTCAAGTTTATATCAATTCCAGTATAATAACTTTTGAACAGTCTCTCAGAGTGCTTCCTTTAGCCTTCATGCTTTGTACATCAATGCATTTTTATTTTAGGAGAAGAGTTTTAATCAGAATGGATACATGGAAGAGCACTTGTGGTTTTACATTTTTAATACAATGACAACAACTTAAGGTCTTTATTTAGCCTCTTATGTTAGTAATTAGCTGAATAAGCATAGTTACTATTACTATCTGTCGAAAATCTGTCTGTATTCTCTGGATAAAGAAGAGCCTTACACAAACTTCTTATGTTTCCAAACCTAGGATGATAAAGAAAGTCCAGAAAAAGATAAGAAAAGGGATATTGCGAAACATTTTTATCATATGCTTCAGATTTCCTTTGATCATGTCTTGATCCTTCCTAGGAAAGTTTTTGGTATGTTTGATATTAAGCGAGTATCCCAGCTGTTAACTGTTGAAACACTTTCTTTGCTTACAGAACTGACCCAAGGATGTAAGGAAAAGGACATTTATTTGGGTTTCCTCATCAAACTGTTAGGACTAACATCTATCAGCCTAAAAATCTTCATAAACTTTTAATAAGATTATCCCATCCTGGACTTTTCTTCAGGTTTTGGTAAAAGGAATGTTTGAAACAAAGGGTGATAGAATGTTGATGCTGAAAATAAATCATTGTGATTGACTGATATATTTATATCACTTATGTACAATGTACAGCACTACAATATAAATCATGTTGAATAATGGTAAAGGTTAGGTTTTAATGACTATAGTTAAAGTAACAAATAAATGCAATTTTTCGTTAGCATGATTATTTGAGAATACCAGATTATTTGTAAATCTCAGCATATATTTTTAGAGTTAGATATAATTTGTTTTATTTTTAGTAGTTGCAAAACACCTTTACTGAGATCTGCTTTTTGTATAGGAACACAAACAAAAACTAATACCACATACAGTACTGCAGTCGGGTATACATCACTCCATGGATATCTACCCTTACTGTTTTGCCTAAAGCATAGCCTAGTTTGTTTATGCCTTGGGTAGGCGCTGATCATCTTGTGACTTTATCATTTTGGTCTTTTGTTTGCCAATTTATTTGAGCATGACATGGAGCTGCATGTGGCAAGACTTTTTGCACTGACTGTGAGTGAATTCTTATCCACCAGAGAGAGATGTTCTCAGTTAGATTTTTGAAATATTACTACCATGTAACATTGCACTCATTATGTAATTAACTTTTTTTTTACCTACACAGTATAATATATATACAAACAGGATGTGCTTACCTTAGTTAGAACATACTTTCTCATATTTTAGGTGGGAAGTAACGGGATGAATAGGAAATCTGGTTTAATACAAGTTTCAGAGTCAAAGTATATGTAAGCAAGTTTGATTTTACATAAGGTTTTAGCATTTAAAGTTACTCCTAAAAAAATCCATCAAAAAATGTATCCATTAGGAGAATTAAATAATGAATAGTTGGTTCTAACAGTAGTAAAAAAGGACAAATTCCCTCCACATAGATATAAAATGGCTGTGTGAATTTTTAAAATGATGCCCTTGCCTAGATCCACCTTTGCTGGCTTAGTTTTTCATAACTTTCAGGAAAATATATCATGCTAAATATATTTTCAGGATACGTCTCATTAACTCTTCAATTCTTGTCGTAGATATCTCAAACTGTGGTACAAGTCTAACCTTTCAAACAACAAATGAAGGAAACAGAATGTCATTTGACATTATTTTCAGTCTAACTCTCCCGTCTGTTTTTCCCTTGTCTTTTTTTCCTAAGAGGCTTATGACATGTATGTAAATATATACATCCTGTCTTTGTTTGCAGGTCGGCCAAAATGTGGATGAATACAGGAGAAATGAGTGTGCCACCCACATTCCAGCCATCAAACACTTCTTTAAGGTATTTAGTCTCAAGATAATGAATAATCTATCACCTTTATAATCATAATTTTTTCTCATAGCAAGTTAATTTTATGCAAGAGAAAATATTAACCTTCTACATTACCCTTGAACTGTGGGCTTCACTCTCAAAATGCTATATTTATACTCAGTAGTTTACTTAGTATTGTTTTGAGAGCTTCCTGTTCTCAGTCCCCTTCCTGCTCTATTGGTGTCTTGGTGCTGTCTGTGTTCACCACAACCGGAAGGTTTCTGTTGAGTCTGAAGCAAAAAGTTCATTTTTTGTGATGAAGCATTAAGTCTTCAATCAACTTTACAATCTTACTTGTTTCTAAGGGGATAAACTCTGCCCTTTGTCTTATTGTTATTTAACTCCCAACAGACGTCTTTTAACTGTTGCCTGGATATTGCTGGTTTCCATATAAAGGCATCTCCCCATCAACAGCAGAGGCATCTGTGGAATGTTTGTTAAATTATTTATTTTTTTTTTTTTGTGACAAGTCTCGAAGATTTTGGGAGCCAAAAAGACTCCCCAACCCTACAGAGATTTTTTTTATGTGTGCACTCAGATTTTATAAATTCTAATTTTAGATTTTAGAAAACTGTAGAAAAAAATGTTGCGTGGTAAACATAGAAAAGACCAGTTTAAATCAGCTCTGTTTCTGTGAACTGGGAAAAAATTTGAACTCTGACCTCCCCAAATACTCACACTTGTAACAGCTGGACTCGAGTCACAGCAACACCTGAAAGTTGGTGCTTTAACTGCTTTAGCTATTTTTCTCAGTTAACACCATATAAAGAGTTTTTGGATTTAACATTTTCTGGTTTTAAGGTCTGTATCTAAACTCGAACACTAAGGATATGATTTGTATGTTGGCCTGAAGACTTTACTTGATTTTAATTGAAACTGAATCAGACTTAAAAACAACATACTTTGCAGTAAACTTCATTGCCATGCATATGGGTCCCATTTGCAAAATTATCTTGACCTCTACACAGCAGTGGTGATGGATATGTGAAGAATCCTGTTTTTTTTCTCTGATGCAATACAGCATTTTTTTTTACGATTTGGACCACTGAATCATTTTTCCTGTTTTTCTCAAGTGAGTTAGTCATGGACAAAACACATAATTCACTGGTGAACAATTCATTAAATTGAATGATGCCACTCCATATACATTTTTTTTAATAGTGTGTATTGGTTCATTTGTGTGTTTTATGGTTTTGGTGATATATTAAGAATATTTAAAAGTTAACTTGATAGTCATTTTAATTGATGTGGTTTATTTCTGCTTACCTATTCGATCCCATATCCATAACATAACAGCGAAAGTTCTGAAGAGATTTAGAATTGGCATGATGGGAGGTTGGCCGGTTGATATTGGATACCAAATAAATCCTTTATCTTTGAAGACATGGAAATATGAAAATGGGCTCGACAAAAGATTTCAAAGAGTACGACAAGAATTTACCTTTGATGTTTTAACAGCAAGGTCTAGAAATTGTCAATCCTTCCTGGTCTTCAGCGGCCAGCATTGCAACATCAGTGTGTCCAATATTTACTTACATTGCAAAGCATGATTTGGAGTGCAGTCAGTTTTGCCATACCTTACAACAACCCACCAAGCAAAAATTGGTCGAAATTACATTGAAAAGATGACATCATTTAAGTCCAAACGACATCTACATTTGGTTGACAAATGAAAGGTGAAATGCTACAATTTTCAGATCATTAAGAAAAAAAAAAGAGGATGTTGAAAACCCAGTTCGTAACATCATTTCAACATCTATTATTGGACTAGGTTGGACAAAATCAGCACCACCAAACAAAGCCAAAATTCAACACCTATTTCTGTACTAAATCAACACTATGACAGACCGACCAGATTTAGTCTAAACACCAGCGTGTAAATGACGTCTGTTTTTTTGAGGGGTTAACATCATGTAGAATATGGTGAACTGCTAGAGTGTGATAGTTTAGGCAGTGTTTTACTTAGCATAGGTCCTGCCATTTACTGTAAGGGTGTAAAAATCATCTTTATATTAAAGGAGAAGTTCGGTTTTTTACACTTTAAGCCCATTTTCTGTAGTGTCCAGGATGAAATCGAATGATCGACACCAAATGTTTGACAATTGCTCCTGTCTCTGCTTTTTGGCTCATTTAGAATCCACCCCTGGCTGCTTTAGAATGGCTAGCATAGAGCATGTCCGATAATGTCCTTAAAACAACCTTAAACGTTCTTTTTTTAAAATATGCTACTCACCGTGTCGTCAGCGCTGTTCAATGACGTTCCAAAAAAAGTTTCGTGAAGAAAAAACGTTCCTGTAGTGTTTTATTTAGCGTTTTGTAAATCCCATTGAGTTCTGTTGGAATAGTCAATATTCCGCTGCCACCGGAAACGGAAATGGAGCCTGTTTACACAGTTGTAGTCTTTTCGCTTCACTCTGTGTACTCCGACGTCGAGAATCAAGAATCCACCTTTCGTATTCCATTTTCAGAGTTTTTTAAAGTGTTTAACAGAGACGTTAGCACCTCGACGTCGGAGTACACAGAGTGAAGCGAAAAGACTACAACTGTGTAAACAGGCCCCATTTCCGTTTCCGGTGGCAGCGGAATATTGACTATTCCTACAGAACTCAATGGGATTTACAAAATGCTAAATAAAACACTACAGGAACGTTTTTTCTTTACGAAACTTTTTTTGGAACGTCATTGAACAGCGCTGACGACACGGTGAGTAGCATATTTAAAAAAGAGAACGTTTAAGGTTGTTTTAAGGACATTATCGGACATGCTCTATGCTAGCCATTCTAAAGCAGCCAGGGGGTGATTCTAAATGAGCCAAAAAGCAGAGACAGGAGCAATTGTCAAACTTTTGGTGTCGATCATTCGATTTCATCCTGGACACTACAGAAAATGGGCTTAAAGTGTAAAAAACCGAACTTCTCCTTTAAGCCACATCGACATCAAGCATACATCTCTGTTATTAGAACATTAGTCTCAGTCATTTCAGGTTAGAAAACAAACTAGGGATGCAACTAACAATTATTTGCATATTGAATAATCTGTCGATTATTTTTTGGATTAATACGGTAATTGAATAGCCAAAGGTTCCTTAAAGAAGACTTTGTAAGCAATTAAACTAGGAGAAACTAAAATGTTTCACTTGAGGAGGATAGAGTGTATTGACTGATGAACATTTTTTATTTTGTATATTTGCTGATGAAGATTCTCAGTCATCCAGGTCATAGTCATTCTGTAAAAGTTTAAAAAACAATCCACTGGACTTGGTTTCCAAGATTTGAAGACGTTTCGCTACCTCTCCAGGAAGCTTTCTCAATTCAAATGTCTGGATCTGCAGTGAGTTTGAGTCTATATTAAGACTCAAATCTTGGAAACCAAGTCCAGTGGATTGTTTTTTAAACTTTTACAGAATATTTTGTATATTGTTTGAACTAAACTAAATGTATATATTTTTTTTACAATCTTGGTATAATTACTGCTTTAATTGGGTTGTTCTGTCAGCTATTGCCATGTTTTTGAGTCTCTATATCCCATTTAGCAATTAATCAATATCTTAATTAGTTGACAATTATTTAAACTGTCCATTGTATCTCCACCCTTAACCAGATTGTTTCAGCTCTAAAACAAACATTACCACTCAACCAAATATCAATCATCTGATGTAAAAACTGCAAGAAATTATAAAACTTAGTTTAATAGTTTCTTTTTACCACTTTACCATTTTTTGTTAAAGACAGAATGAAACTGCAGCAAATCATTGTGAGTTTCTAAGAACATATGTGATTAATATGCTAAAACAAATTCCCACAAAAATCTTACCACTGCATCTGGTAGTATTAACATATATAAATGTCAACACACTAAAATGCATACATTCTAAACTTACCTGATCCTTCCTAAACTCTGAATGACCTGGCTTGACATCATCTAATTCAAGTCTCTACTTTATGACATGGCATAATATGCCTTTTCAGAATCGTAAGAGCTGACTAAATTGCCTTAGTGGGCTGGATTCAGCCATCAGGACTCCAGTTTATTAACACACATGAAGTAGTTGTTAATATAACACAAACCCCCTACCTGAATACTGTTCCAGACTACAAAAAGCAAAAATGGTATATGAAAAGTTTGATTCACCAACTCTTAGTTCAAACCAGTATCTGTGGTAAATACCCGACATGCAGGACTTACAGGACTTGATGCAAATGCTGCTTACATATCGGTGCAAGATACCACAGCAACTCTTCAGGTGTCTAACAAGAGTCCGTGCCATGATGACTCAGGCCTGTTTTGGCATTAAATAGGGATCATCACATTAGGTTGTCATAATGTCATGCCTTATTTGGACTCACTGAAATGTTACTAAGTGAAAGAAGTGGAGGATAGAATTTAATGAGTGATTTTCAAAACTAATGTTCTGGAAAAATCACATTATTTGGGGTCTCAGACTCTGCAACCTTGCAGACACTTGACATATACATACTTTTAGTGTCATGCTGGCTCTTAGTGGGTCAGTACTGATGATTGTCAACATAGTTAATGAGAAATCTTACATGTGCTTACAAAGTAATGCATAGGCTACTATTTGGCTTAGTAATGTATGAGGAACTGTGGCTGTAGTGGAATATTTTGATGAGTAGATGATATGCATGTTTCATACAGCATGACATTGTCTCTTTCAAAAGATCTGCTTTGAGACTAAATTCCCTCCTGGCCTTTCAGTGACATGCAAGCTAAACCTTTTGGATAGACTTCATAACGCACACTGATTAATGATATAATTAAAGGATGAAAGATTATTTCTTAGACTCTTGTCAGCCACTTCTTTGTGTTTTTTTCCCCCATTTATTTAACTTGAGTACTTTTTTCTCTTTTTTCATTCCTCTTTTTTGTAAACCTTAGTTAGGCTTTCTGGCAATCTGTGCTGCATGTCTGAGCTGGCACTAAGTAGGTTTTGTTGAGGCGAGTCTGCAGCTGCTGACTTGGTTCTGTTACAAGCTGAAGTCTGAAGTGGCATTGGCTTATGAAAACTAAATCTGAATGGAGGGCAGGGATATAAATTGCTTTAGGATTTTGGCTAAGAAAACATGGATAAGTTAGGTTTTATGCTTGAGTCTTTATGAAATATTAGATGGTAAGTAAACAGGATTGGGGAGTTGGATTTAAAAAGTAAAGACTATATGCTATAATTAAATGTATATTAGTTTGCAAAATTATTTACATCTTTCAACCACAGATTTTAGTATATTTTCGCAAAGTAACACTTGATTGTGAATTAGAATACATGTGAATGTGAAGAATACATAGCTCTAAATTTTGATACAAAAAACCCTGGAATAGTGTTTGTTTCATCTTTTACTTTAATACATCATACATTCACTATATACTAGATAAATGGATTGTCTTTTACATTTTTTTGCATAATTTGTACTCTCTATTAAGAAAATACTGCTCCAAGTTAAATTAATTGCTTGAATTGGTAACAAGTATCTAAATTAGATTTTTTCCCCAACGTAATGAATTTATTTTTAACTTATATATATGATAAATTAAGTTGGAATGGCATTTTCTTTTCAGAAATGATTTGTAGTTTCCTGCCACACAAGAATGGTTTTTAGATTTGATCCACTAAAGCGTAATGGTGGCCTTGCTTATTCCACCCTAAGCCTGTTTTAATGAGTGAATGGAATACTTTACTTTTGAAACTTACTAGATAGATTTAACTAGCTCCTCATTTGATTTTAATTATACTTGCACTATTATACTTAGTACATTTATACTTAGTACATTTAATTCCATTCATATTGTCCAGTACTTCAGAACAGTTGCAAAGAAAGCAATTTAATGACATGATGGTACAACCAGATGCTGATAGGTGGTACGGTTAAAACTGCTCTTTACTTTTAAAGAGCTACAGTTTAAAAGTATCACATTAGTCTTAATTTAGATATTTATTCATGGCCACTACAAAGGTTTCATGTATCCAGCACAGCATCAGTATCACAAATATGCAAGTTAATGTGTTTTGTCTGATTGATAATTCTTATATATCAGGTCGTTCACTTACTGAATTACTGTAAATATAATACAGAGCAAGTTGTCAGTTTTTGGGCAAAAACTCTATTGTTTTTTTTCCCTGGCAAATATCAAAATTCATCCCTGGCACAAAGGAATCTGGATCTGTTGCTGAAAATTTTTGGATTGTCCTTTTTCTCCCTGTCAGCTCTGTGGACTCCTTGTCTGGTCCATGTGCCAAGGCTGCGCAGTTTGCATTGACAGAAAGATTGATATGGATTGCACGCTATAGTGACGCTTATTATGAGGCACACTGAAAGCTCTGTTCAGTGTCAGAGTTGTCAGTCAGATAAAGCTGTGCTCCTGTAGGAGGTTGGCAGGCATCGCCCTCGTGAACAAGCCTGGAATTATGCTCTCAGCAAAAATTATTCTAAAGTCCTTTGCACACTCAGATTCCCGCATGAAAACAAAGACATGATGTTGAAACATCTAAATGCTCTCAGTATTAGTCCGTCAATAGGTTTTGTTTCAGCCTTTTTGTCTTTTTTTTTCAAATATCCTTAAAGGATCCAGCTCTGGGCTGAATATTAGACAGTTAAAATAAGATGCTCCTACTAAGTGTTCTAGGTTGTATAAAAAAAAAAAAAAAAAAAAAAAAATCAAATGTAGGGTGCCTTCACATAGTCAATAATCTGATATAATTTAGGGCTGGGTAAAGTGTCTTAAAAATATATCCTTAATTTTTTCCTACCAAATCTAATTAATCATTAATTTTTTCTCTCTTAAAGGTTTAGTGGGGGATTTTCACGAATACCTGACTAAAAAAAAAAAAAATGTGTACCAGCTCCCGATAGAGAATACTTATTAAACATGTGCAAGAGTGTGAACGAGCCCATTTCTCCTCATGCACAGTCTGTTTAAAAGTTTCTGTTTGAATCGCTCATACAAGCTTACTTTCCCAAAGAAGATTGGCAATTTTTCTACCATTTCAGACTCATCACCGGTAATTGAAAACGGCAAATATATCACCAGAATTATAAACAATTAGCAGGACCACTTTTGATGATCCACCCGGAAAAGGAACATCCTCCACTATACCTTTAAGTTTCATCATAAAAAATACATACACATACTATTTTCCAAAAATCTTTAGTATCATCTTGTCTAGTAGGTGACCTTAATTTGAAGGCAACATAATTCAAGCTGTGACACAAACAACACTAAATGGTTGCAGCTAGTGGTATTAAACAGTGAACTAGTTTATTAGTTATACAAAAAATGCTGAGCTAGAAGGAGTGTGTTGGTGATAAATAAATCCAGATCTACCTAAAGTGTAATTGTCATTGCCAAAATGTGGTCAATCAATACAATTATAAAAAAAAAACACCTCAAAATACCCTACTAAAAAGATTTACATTTACATTTTCTGTTCCGATGTATTGCTTCCTTGAATATTTTCTCAATATTTCTGGCCCCTAGACTTCTAATTTCCTTTCTTTCCCTATTTGCAATCCATAGCCCAGGCATGCATTTTTGTTCTCACGCTTCAGTCTTTGCTGGTCTTTTCTCTCTCAGTCTTTACAGCTGAAGGGGTTGCACAACTGTTTGGCTCCAAGTTTTCATAACTCAGTGTTAGAAGTAATATCAGACTGAGTGAAACTCCACAAGGCTTGTGTACGATAGCATTTCATCTGTGAGTGTGTGAACAGAGGGACTGCAGAGCAGCATGTTAGAATTTAATGTAATTAACAACTGTCTTACTTCAATCATTTTGTTTTTATTCTTTGCCCTCTATGTTTCAGGAAGCACATGCTTTTATTAGTGCAGAAAAGTCGGAGGATGTGACAGAGGAGAGGGTGAGAGCTGAGCTGAGCAAGGCTCAGACTCAAGCTCCCATGCAGTGGGTGAGGAGAAGTTCCAGGTCTACTAACAAGGAGGAAATTGTGGTGAGTTTCCTGCAGTACCTCATCTTTCCATTAGATGGAGACACAGCATCTCATTTAAGAAATGAAACAGTTTGAGACTGGGGGGAAGCACTTCAATTTTGCTTCCAGCTTGCCTGTTACATGAAACCAAATCTTTTTAGGTGTCATACTCATTATTTTGGTATCATTTTCTTTCTTGTTTCAGGGTACAAACTACAGAAAAACCAATGCTGCAATGGAAATGAGACTAATTAACAGAGACTCCTTCTGGGCACGTGCAGAAGTAGGTCCAAATACATGCAAACATGTTATTTTGATTTAATACAATACGGCAAAGAAAATATATAAAACAGAAAAGCTAAATATGTAGTGCTAATATGTGCTAAAATGCATGTTGTTTTGTTATTGTTTGTGTTTTTCAGCGTGAAGAGGAAGAGCGTAAAGAGGAGGAGAAAAGAAGGGCTGCAGAGGAGAGACGTCGCCTTGAAAGAGAGAGGATTCTAAAGGAGCGAAGGGATGCAGAAGAGAGAGACAGAAAAATGAATGAAAAACTTCAGATGATTGAGGAGCAAAGGTTTGAACACTACATGCAATGCTGTGCTCCTTATAAGAACTAGTTTTGCATTGAATTCACACAGGGTAAAAGCAGCAGTTGTTAAAGCGTGTGAATTTTCAAGTAAATCAGTGACAAGGGAACCCTTGATATACAAGTGCATCTCAGAAAATTAGATTATTGTTCAAAAGTTCAATGTTCTTATCACTCATTTAGAAAGTGAAACTCAAATGGATTGTTACAACTTCAAACCTCAAGTGTCTCATTTGTAAGTGCCACTCTGCAACCAGAGATACCATTAGAAACATTGGCTTATGGGAGAAACAACTGGCCTCTTGCAGGGTGATTATCAGTCCTCAGTTCAGATCAAAACTTTTTAATAAAAGTAAGTTTACATTTTATTAAAAAAAAACTGAGTCTGGAGGAACAGTATAGAGGCACATAATCTATGTCAACTTCAGTCATGTTGTCCCACACATCAAAACAGTGTCGCGCATTTAAATGGGTCAAATTACGAACAAGAAAATCACTCAGAGAGCGCAGGACTCCAGCAAGCAGCAAATTCTGCCTTATATTGTGACATTTACCTATTGCTGAAACTTGCATGTCTGGATCATGACTTTTGGATTCCAATGCTGAGGCTAATAGGGACTGCTGCCATCCTCTGGTTCAGGGGGGACTGCTTGTCTCCTCCATAAATCACTATCTCATAATATTAAAGAATCCTATAAAAAACAATGGATAATGTAATGGATGTAATGGATTGTTTAAAAAAAATGTAATAAAAAACCTGTCTGTAACTTTTCAAGATATCCTTTAAATAGACAGAGGGACAAACACAAACAAAGTCTCTTAAAAACATAACCTCCTGGACAGGGGTCAAAAGTCACAGGAGCATATCCTTAATGCAAAGAAAGTAGAGCTGCAGTGCTTGTTACAGAGCTTTGCCAGTGGCCCATGTTAAGACCAATCTGCTCACAATGCTCTTAAAACAGAACAGGTAATGGACTTTATTGCAAAACTATGATTACTATGTTTAGAAAAAAAAAATACAGCCACAATGAAGAATGTGCAACCTTTATAACAGGGTGAGGCCAGTGAAAGGTGATTTTCAGAGAGCTTCTTGTAAAGTTATAAGTGTCATAAGCATCCTAGTTAGTCCAGTCAGCATATTATTATTCTTTGTGGAAATGGATGCTTTGGAGCAGTTCATGCTTCCTGACAAGCTTTATGCAGATGCTGACTTGATCTTTCAGAAGGACTTGGCTCCTGCCCACCCTGCAAAAAACACCAAAATCTTTCCTTTCACTTACTTAATTTTGTTTTTAAGAGTGAACTGAAAACCTATTCATTTAAGAAAACATTTTAATTCTAGTAGATTAAGGGTTGTTTTATGACCATGTCTTTTGTGACTGTATATGTAGTTTAGTTATATTGTAATTTTGTGAAGCACTTGGTGACCCCTATGTCTGTAAAAGGTGTTATATTTTTAAACATTGCTTACATACCTACAAAATCTGCTTGCATAACCCTGGTGTTACTGGGCTTTATAATCCAGAAAACGTACCTGTCAAGCTGTGAGGACTCCAGACCCAACAAAGCAGATGACCTAAAGAGTTCTATCCAAGCAACCTGGGCTTGCGTTAAAATTTAGGGGTGCCCACCCTTATCACCTCCATGTCATGATGCATTGATGCAGTAATTAATTCAACAGAAGGCCTAAACAAGTATTGACTGTATCAGAAGGAACCCATTTACCATCAGCATACAATTTTGTTTTATTTTATATTTTTGTCATATATAGTCTAATTTTCTGAGACAGTGATTTGGGGGTTTTCCTTATCTGTAAGCCATAGTATTCAAAATCTCTAGAAATAAAGGTATAAAATATTCAACTCTGTTTGACGAATCAAAATTATATATGAGTTTCTGAAATTTTTAAAAACTTTTGAACACTATCCTAGTTTCTTAAAATGTACTTGTATAATAAGCTGCAGTTTAAATATTGAAAGAAACCTGTATATAAGATCACTGTGAACTTTATTTTCTCAGAGGCTTTTTTATTTAAAATATCTTGATAGACGGAAACAGAGGGAAGAAGAAGAGGAGATGCGGAAAAAGGAGAAATTAAGATGGGTAAGTTAAAAATGTTTTTTCTACAAAATGTTTTTCATGACAGATAATAAATGTTGTATATGTTATTATTTCAAGGAAATGGTGTAAAGTTTTACATTTGACATAAAATACTGATAAAGGAAACACTGAAGTCTGATTTACGGGAAAATCCTTTCCCAAGAAGTTTAAATTAAGACCTTTAAATGTTCTGGCAGATATTGCTGTTAATATGCAGTGGATAAAAAAACAGAGTAGCCAAAAAGCTTTAAGTGTTGCAGAAAAATCTATCATCATAAATCCTCTACTTTTCTGACTGTCAGGAACAGCAACAAAGGGAACACGAAGAAGTTATGAGGGCTCGTCTTAGAAGAAGTGAATCCATAGAGAAAGCTGCTGTAAGTTATTCCTACAAGATGATTATTTGTTAAACACTGTAACTCCTTGGTGACTAACGTGACTTGGAAGCCTTCTTTGTTCTAAGAGGGCTTGCACTTTTTCTTATCTTTCAGCACTATATACTTCTTGTTGTGTATTTTGACCTATAGGAAGCAGCAGCATTAGTGTCGCAGCGCTCCATGAATCCCAGAGAGTTCTTCAGACAACTGTCATCTTCGTCATCACAGAGCCCCACCAGTCCTGGATCATCCCGCAGTGGTACAATGGAAGCTTTTTTCTTTTTTTCTTAAGCCAGAAATCCTTTATAAAACCCAATAATCTTTCAGGCATCAGAATGTTGTGATCTTGCATGTCCGACTTAAGTTATTTTTGGAAAAGATAACAGAGTTGTTTCTCTGCAGGAAAACCATTCAGACGGTACCAACGCAGTCTGACGGATACAGCATTTATCTTTTCAAAATCAGAAGACAGTGCAGGATGTTCTCCGCACACGTCTCCACTGGTCTCTCCCTTCTCAAGAGCTCCTCCGTCCCCAGTTTTCCGGGCCATGTCTCCCCCCAGAACCCCAGATTTTCAACCGGTCACCTTACCACAGAAGCCCAGAAGCCCCATGACGCCACCAACATCCCCAGTTCGATCTGCTCCCCCAGTTTCGGCTCTGCCCAGTGTTCCACGAAGTAGCGACCGAGTTAAGGCTGCAGCTGAACTGGAAGCTTCAGAACCAACAGAACCTTCTGCGCCTCCAGCTTCCCCTAGCCTACTAAAGTCTTTGTCCCCCAGTTCAATAAATGAAAACCTCCCTCAGTTTCTTTCAGAGTCTGTGCCACCCTCAGATTTAATGAATACAACCGATGCAGATCAGCATGAGCCTTCACAGGTTCTAACAGACCCTCTTCTGCTGAACACAGGTAAGGATTACATTTTTTTCTCCAATTAAAGTCCATCAGAGAATTTATGTATGTTAGAACATATATTTGACGGTATTCTTGAGTTTCACTACATCTTACCATGTCACAACTGGACGCTTAAACTAGGTTCCCTGTTCATGCATAAGGAAGCTTTCCCACAGCATAGTGCTGCCACTCCCCTGTTTCACAATGGGGATGGTATGTTCAGGGTTACACAGTTATGGAAAACAATATGACCCTGTGTTTAACTTTAGCTAGCACTTCCTGTGGCTTTTAGCAATTGTATTCTTCTTCTCCTTTAGCTGCTATTTAATGCTACCCTTATCCAGCCCTTATCAATTAGGTTTTTAGCTGCACCACACCCTTTCATTTTTCACATCATAAATCAAAGATGCTTTTTTTTTTTTACAACCTATCACAAATTTACATTTATTCCTCCTATACTCAACTGGCCTTTTATTATCCTTAGCCTTTATTATTCCCTGCTTAACCAATAGTCTCTGAATGCCCTCACAGAGCATTGGAGCCTTATGCTGAGATCACAATAACGACTAGCTATGCAATATTTACTAAAACATAACCTTTAAAGAAAATTTGTTGCTGTGGATTTTATTAGATATCAGATTAAAAGGGGCTGAATATAAGGCCGCACTCTTCAGAAATATAAAAAGGGTGCACACCATTTTAATTATTCATAGCCTCTCACATAAAGTACTAATTACAAACATTATAAATTGCAGTTGTATTGTGATAACACAATAAAAATATATATTTTTGCAAGGCAGTCTAAAATGGTTATGAAATTGCAACTTAATTTGAGGCATAACAAACTCCCTACCACAGACACAGCAGTACTCTAATTAACAAATAGTCATTTAATGCCCTCTTTTATTTATAATTGTATAATTGTTCCAATTAACAGAATTTAACACACCATGCCTCGTAAACAAGCTGGTCTCAGACTCTAGCTTCAAAGTACAAGCTGTACTGGTGGAAGCAGATGAGGAAGAGGATCTACAGGAGGAGGAGGAGGAGGAGCAGAGAGATGAACCTGAAACAAAACCAGAGGTGGAATCTGTCACTAATGAACCAACTGGGATTGAAATGGATCAAGTAGATAAAGAACAAATGCAAGACGTGACAAGAGATGAGGAGGAGGAGAAAAAGGAGGTGGACAAGGATAAAGAGTTTGAAGAAGAGGGTATGGATGGGGAACTTGAAGAAGTGGAAAATAAAGAGAAGCAGGAGGAGGAGAGTAAGGAGGATCAGCACGAGATGGAGGATAAGAAGGAACTCGACAGGGATGAGGAGGCGTCGGTGGGATCAAAACATAAAACTGATCCTTCATCCCTGGTACAGCCAGCAGAGACGCCCCAGGTTGAAGAGAAGGCAGAGAAAGACGAAGAAGAGAACATTCATTCAGGAGTCAACCAGACTCCTACTGAGCTATCAGAGGAAGAAGAAGATGAAGCAGAAACAGGTAGTGTTTGTTTCCCAACATTCTGAATCATTCCAAATATCTGCAGTTATATTCTGATCCATTTTATCTCATTGTTATAGACCTTGAACCAGTTTGCCAAGATGTCAAAAATGTCAACATTCTCCCATCAACCAATGGGATGACAAATGGTGATTGCACCCAAGAGGAAAATTACACAGGTTCTAGCATTCTTTTTCATTTTCTTCCAGTTTACATCCCTAGTTGAACTGTTCTGAATAGTTTCCTTTCTATTTTGCATCAGTGAGCTCTTTGAGTCCAACTAACACAGACGGCAGGATATCTGAGTCTCCTGACTGCTACAGATCCGCAGAAGAGGAAGAAAATGACGAAGAGGAGCAACAGCTCTCCAAAAATGGACAAGAGGTGTTGTTTTCTAAATATATTTTGTGTTTTTATTCAGATAAACTTTCTATGAGCCAGCAATTGGAGTGCAAAAGCTTAAACAGTCACACAGTGATGACTTTAAGACCTTTAATGCTATTATCCTAAAAGGGGAAACATACATGTAGTTTTATATTAGTATAGTGGTATCTGTAGTTTAGAGAGGCTTTCTTGGATTAAACACTGTTTTTACATACATCTTGGCAACATTTTAAGAACCAAAGGCCTCCCTTATAGTTGTAGTGATACCTTACAATGATTTTTAGACAGATGCATATTATGTGCAAATAATGCACATGAATCCTTTGCATGTTTTAGTGGCAATTTCACAAAATAAACGGCTCAAGTTCAAATTTATTATGGCTGATATTTCTATGGCAGCCCATCTTTAACTATAGAACCCAGAAAAACTAGAAGGAAGGAATGGTGGATGAATGGACAAAAGAGAAAGACTAAGATTGGGTTAAAGAATAAAGGACGTTCACAAAGAGAAAGAGAAGAATGACAAGAATGAAAGGAGAAAAAGACGGAAGGACACAATGGGAAAAGAACAGAAAGTTTCAATCAAGCATTCTTTGTTTCAGACACTGTCTGTCCATAGAAAAACAAAGACAGGAACACATAACAAAAAACTTTAAACACGACAATCCTCGTAGGCACATTCTCCAGTGACTACAATAACAAGAGGTGTATCTGATGCTACTTTCAAACAATTATTTCAATTTTTGAGTCCTCAACAAACAATATTTTGTGCAAAAAGCTGACTGGCACATCTAGAAAGGGACCTTCAATAGAATCAGAGCATTTACCCTTATACGTCTAATTATTTTTTAACGTTCAAGATGGTATCTGGAAAACACTTGTACAGCTACATATTCTGATCATTTACGCACTAGAATAAAGATGATTTTTCACAATGCATTTTTTAAGGTAATACATCAAGGTGGGATAAAATGTACTTCATTAAAAACAGTATTTAGGCATAAAATGTAGTGACGGTGGCCGTTATTGGATGGCCTGATGAATTTATAAGTTTGCATCTTTAAATAAAATGAGCAGTCTATGATAATTATGATTATCAGGTTTATTTTAACGCATATGTCTGAAAAAAATCGTAAGAAAATATTTAAAATAAATGTCACAACTTTATTAGAATTTAGAAACAAGAGCTGTATCTGTTCTTCAAGCAAACTTGACTTTTACTTTTCCTTTGCAGATTTTCTGTAATATTTAAAGTAAATATTAATATTGAATCATTTTAGGAGAACAAAAAATCCTCACTCGCATTAGCAACATTAGAATGTTAGCACACATCCAATCCATCCATCCATCCATCCATCCATCCATCCATCCATCCATCCATCCATCCATCCATCCATCCATCCATCCATCCATCCATCTTATCCTGCTTCATCCATCATGGTTGTAAACATCATAGTCATCCATCAGCTGGGGTAAACCCTGGACAGGTCACCATTCTGTTGCAGATGTTAGCACCCTCTCAGTATTAATAACAATACAGAAGAAAGATCAAAATCACAAGCCCAAACAATCAGCCACTTTCACATCTGGATTTTCCAAGTTTTAATTGAAGCTCAATACTAACAAACACATTTTAACAGGAAAAAGTCAGATTTTCAAAGGATGAGTCCTTTACGATTGAAAGACTGTATAATTCAATCTAGTAGTTAGATGAGATTTTTTCTGAGCTACTATTCTCTGCTGGTGATATATGCTTTGGATCTTTGTAATACTGTTGATCTATCCATGACCAGTGTTGATAGAATCAGCGTTAGATAATAACAGCGTTACTAACTGTTTATATGTTTTGTTCACAAAGTAATATAATTTCTTTTCACATATTGGTAATGCTCTTATGTCATTTGCAAATTAATGCAGCATGTTACTGCAACTACATCAATCAAATAGAATTTTCATATAGCACTTTTTCTGCATCTTGAAGAGATTTTTACTGCAGTTTGGGCATGGATGAGCAGGGAGCTAAGATATGCATACATAAAGCTGATTGGCTGAAGAGTTTAAATGTGGGCGGGTGTTTAGCAGGCCTTGAACACAGACTGAAAGGAGAGATGATGGTGGAGAGCTACTGATTCAATGACATTGTTCCGAAGGAAAGCACTCTCCATAGACAAAGGCTAAATATTCCTGTGATTTGCTTATTATGTGCTGGAAGAAAGACTCTATATCGTTGCTTAGAAGCAGCTGTTACATAAAGAAGCTCCTCATTGCTGACTGACAGCCCCTTGGTTTAATCAAGACATGTTCCTTATTCTACTCGTCTTATACTGATTTCACTTTTATGGCTTTCGTTCTGGTTCTTTGCACACAGAAAACTGGGATGATATATTTGTATTATTCATTTATTTATGTTTTTGGATTAGTATAACCCCCAAATAATTCTACTGCAAAGCAATTTTTTTAATGTAATTGCTGAAAAAGCATAACTTTTAAGCTTCATAGCTATTTTATAGCAAGTTAATGTAAATGTGAAAAAAATGTAAAGTGCTAAAACATCTTATTGTTCTTTTATTACAAACGAAAAACAAAATCACATCTACATGAATATATTGCAACTCACTTGACCAGCCACACACACCAAAATGGTGCAGGTTAGTATTCAATGTTTCCAGAAATGTTGTCCTTTTAAATAATTATCTAATTCAACAATATATTCTATAATTAAAGCTTCTGTTGTATTTAAAGTTCTACTTACATGATGGATAAATTCTCTCACTTAAATTCATTTAAGATCATAAAAAACGTAACTGCATATTTACTTTGATGAGGAATTGGTTATATTTATTCAGCAGAGTGAGTACTACTTACTTTTTTTAAAGTAATGTTCCCTAGAGTGTCCATGATCCATCTTCAAGGTCCTAACCAAGGCCAGGTGTTCCACATCTATTAATTAGTGGCTCCATTTGTTTTTTTTTTCATTCCTGTATGATCACTGTGTGGCCTTAATGGATAACCAGTCTGACGCCAGTTCTTTACCTCCATGTTTGACAGCAGGGGAGGTACAGCTTTTCTGCTCTTAGAAATATGATCAAAAGTGATTATGTGACAAGTGAGAGAAAAAAAACAAACTGTTAAGTTTTTTTTTAAGGTATAGGAAAAGGGAAATTTTTGTGCCTGGTGTCAGAATTCTTGTTGGGTTATAGGGGAAAAACATTTATTACACACGATCAATGGCAAACCAGTTTTTAAATCTGAAATTTTGTTTTATTATTTAGGTGTCAAAATTCTAAAGGGGACAAACTTACAAATTGTGTATGGGATCAAAAAGTTATTTTAATGTATATTTCTGAGATATTCTGCTTTTGGACAGATAAGGATGAATGCTGTATATCATGATTTAATGGCACAGGTTCTAACATACCATGCTGGGAAAAAGTTGCAAGAACTTTTAACTGAACCATCTGTGACAGTTTTCTTCGAAGCAATATAACTTTTCTCTTGAATGTGTCATGTTAGCTGAGCAAGAAATGCATCATGTCATGATTATAGCCTTTTTTTTTTTTGTTTTTTCATTTAAAATTTTCCTGTCCACCCCAGGATTTATCCGAGCGACATATGTGCGTCCGAGCTCTGTATGACTACCAGGCAGGTAAGCTGCCATTTGGAGGATAATTACCACACATGTGCACTTAAAGTGCCTCCGTTTTGCAGTAATTACACTGTGATTATCTGGTCCTCACCATGTTATCTTGTGGTTCCCACAGAGGACGAATCCGAGATCTCCTTTGAACCGGGTGACATCATAAGGGACGTGGAGACGGTGGACAAAGCCTGGTGGAGGGGGTGGAGCAAAGACGGTCGTCAGGGTTTATTCCCCGCTAATTACGTGGAGACCATATAGGCAGGCAGAGGCACTCTATACGTACACTTACACACACATTCACACACTCAGGGACACACATCCTATCTCGTTTCTGCATGTTTTTACCTTAATCCTCCCACTGAAACTTTATGCTCTCTTTTCTGTAGGAAGAATAAAGAAACATGAGGCTCCTTGTTCCGAAGAAAGCATGGAGTAAAGTTTGACTCTTTATTTTGATGTTTTTTTTTTTTTTGGAGAAAAACACAAGTATGCAGAAATTACCCAGCCTTATTTTTTATGGGTGAAATAGTAAAGACCTTTTCCTGGACCAAAATAACTTATTTTCTTTTAACATGCAGTTGAAATGGGGGATTGGGGGGGTGGAGATGCAGATGATAGGAAACTTGCTTTTCTTCTAAGTAACAAACATGTTTTAACTGCAGTGCTCCTTTTTGATCCTCACATATAACAAGCATACCTTTGCTCACCATTCGTACCCATATACCAGGTACCATCTTTGTAATCATCATCTTGTGTCTCTTCCATTATTTTGGAGCGCTGTATTTGCTACTGACATACATTGCAGGTTAATTAACCAAACCAGAGCAAGAAACTGAACAAAATGATAAAAAAAAGTGAAAAATGATGTTGATTTTCTCTTCTGTTAAACTTCTGTATGGATTCTGTGTGTTCCATTGTTGATACCCTGCATTACATTTGGTCCCTTGTCTTCTTTCCTAGAATTTAACAGTGTAATTCATAATGTCAACAGATTTCAAGTGCATCATTACTACACTGTATATAAGAATTTATACAGAAAACGTAAATTCTTAGTTCACATGTTTATATGTCCTATGCTTATTTTATTTGCCATTTCTTTTTGTATTTACTTAAAACTTACAAATACAGCTTTTATGCACTTAAATGTCTTCTTAATGTTTCTGTTTGTCTTTATCGTCATTGTTATGGCATTAAAAAAAACAAGCAAAATTTGCAAATCAAGTGTTAAATCATTTTTTCATCATCAGTTTATTATCACGGGTACATCATTTTTATGATGATGTACCTGTTCAGACATCGGCAAAGACTCCACATCCATGTCTTTATATGATGAATATATTTGTATGACGCTACTACAAAATCTTTCAATTAGCAGCCAATACGATCAACAGCAACAGACATAGGGTTTTAATCAAATAGTTTTAAATCTAATGTGAGCTGAATTAAATTTTTTACAACTGTTTGTTTACAACTAACAACAGGTGAATAATACTGCCTTAACAACAATGAACAACATTTAAATATCAAAATGTGTCTTTTTAAGGCTTTTATGGCTTTTACAGTTTTATTTGTGTAAAAATGTTTATTTGCAGATCAAGCATTACACTGTTTTAGGATATCTCTTTTAGGTAAATACCATATTTTTGAAGGCAGTCCTTACGCAGTACCATTTGGTTTTACATTTATAATTATCATAGTCTTAACTTCATTGGTAAAGAGCTCCAATTCTAAAAATGAAAATCAGTAGCAATATTTGTGAATATTTTTAAAATGAACCATGATTTAGGGTGCTGTCATATTAATTCCTATTTTGTATGGTTGGGTATTAAAATTGCTTCATGCTATTAAAAAATGTTTCTCACTTACTAGCAGTACTTATGTGACGTTTTCACTGTAGATTTCAATGGGGCTTTCCAAGTGGGATGGAGGGTATATGGGCTCCACAGGGTTAATTCATTGGCTACGTTGAATTAGTTTTGAATATATATCATTATATTTTGTATTCTATTAAAGCAATAGTTAACTCACTGCTGATGTGCCTATTACTATAGAGGTAAAGAAGTAAATTAAACAAAGTGACACTAAGCCAAATAAACTTTATGGGACTTCTCTGCAATCTATTACATAGAACCATTCCGAAAAAAAGACAAGGAGGAAAATAAAGTTTGTTTTTATAACCTTGTACAAATTCAAAATCATTATTAATATGGTCATCAAAAACCGCCAAAGCTGAAACAAATTGCTGTACATGAAAGATAAGACAATGAAAAAACCAAAAACATTACAGTGGGTTAATAAAGCCAAGAATGCAGCTATAAAACATGTAGAATAAAAATATTAACATGACAGAGTAATGAAACAGATACAATTATTAATAAAAGAGGGTAAATGAAGAAAAGAAAATAAATGAAAATAGAACGTCTCAGTGGGGTTGAAAATCATTGTGGAAAGATACATTTTAAAAATGGCCTGTGTAGGGGCATCTAACGTGTGATGGCAATGCGTTCCATAACTTGGAGTCCTGATAGAGACCTCTAAGCTCCTGTTGGTTGGGGATAACCAGGAGAAGTTGGTCAGTGGGCCCGAGTTGCCGAGCAGGAACTGAAATTTGGAAGAGCTTGGATTTCAAAATGAACTCTAATATACAACATACTTGATGGACTAACGCACCAAACAGAGACCACTGGTCTTGTTTCTGGTTAGAGACTCTTCTCTGCTTTCTCAGTGTATCACTGCCGATGAAAACATTTCACTAACAGCCTTTGTTTTGGATTCAGCCTTGAATCAGTTGAGATTTACCCATCAAATTTCAGCTGTGTGCCAGTTTATCAATGATCACTGTATCACCTGTTTTACTACTTTTTAAGCCGATGTTAAGGCGAAAGATGTTTTATAAAGTATTTCTATTTAGTATTTTGGTATGATGGTTTTGTTTGTTTTTTTGGAATGCAGTAGAGGAGGTTAAAGGCGTCCAAAATATTTGCTTTGGGTGTACCTTAAAAGAAAATGTAACCATAATAGAGATGCAGTGCTACATTTTATTTAAAAAAAATAAAAATAAATAAAATATGGAAAAAGCAGACCAAAGTTATATTAATTGCATTGAAAGTGTTAAAAATGTCAACACATGCCAGTGACTGAACAAAGCTACATTATATTTAGTTCTCACTCTGCTTACCCTTTGCACTAATTCTCACACAGCACATCAGCTCGTACGTGTAATATTCTTCTGGCACCTATAGGTGGAGACATTGCCTTTTCCAATTTGCTGCTGACATTATGAAGATAAAACTGCCTGTATTGAGCAGATTCCTCAGGACAAAAGGCAAAATATTTTGACAGGCAGAGAGGGGGCTCATTGTTAGGCACATTTCAGGAGCAGGAAATCCTGACATTCCCAAAGCTAAAAATTGCTAATGCTTCTAAACCTTAAACAGGATTTTCCCCTGAGGTAATGATGATTGATTGGATATGACATTAATATTTCTTAACCGTGCACCTTTAATACTTCTAGGGTGGCTAGGTTACGCTCTTGTAGTGCCAGTTCAATAATAGTGTTTGGCAGACGCGCTTCTGTTCTGGAATAGAGAGGTAATGTTTGACATGGGTCTCATCCTGCTCCAACTGATGCCTGTTGACAGATTGACTAAGTCTATCCAGGAAGACCGTTCTATCAAAGTTATCCAAGAAGGTTAATCATCAGCGATATGTGTAAAGAAGTGATGAGCCACTTATGAAATTTTAATTGCTTGTGGTAGAGAAGTCTGGGAAAAGTTAAAAGAAATAGTGATTAGAGCTTACGAATAGCAACATAAGGACAATTCATACATTTCATGACAAGAGTGATGACAGTGTAATTATTAATTTGCGTTTTAAACTGAAAAAATAGAGGTAAACAGCCTCATCGGTTATTTCCTCACGTTTATTACTTTGCTCTGTACTTCTTCTGATGGTCATTCTCACAGTTCAAGAGATCCCTTGTCTGATCTAATTAAGCAGACTGATATGGAGGCACCAGCTAATGTGCCAGTCAAATTTCCATTCCCCTTTTTGTCTTAAGGCTGTTCTTTGCTTCAGTGACCCTCATCAGTAACAAAAACCTTTTGACTGTGGCTTTAAACCAACAGAGGAGACCACCCCTCTTGACTTTCCCCTTTATCTGTTCTTTAACTGACAGACACTATCTGACCAGCGGAGGGCTGACAAGTGTGGGATGGCCGAGGTGACATAGCGGTAGGGAAGTGCCACTCATTGTGGTGTTATCAGCACAGTGGCAATGACAGAAAGCTAATCTGACCTGGCTGCTGATGGCTTGTGGCTTATTGGCTAGGTTTCGGGCTCTAAAGCAGATTCTGGCATTGTGCCTAGACATTTACAGGGAAGGATGAGCTGAAAACACGTGCAGCCATGTGAAACACACACATACATGTGCACCAAATTGACAACGCCCACCATTCGGAGACCTCTGTTTTAGAAAACTCTAGCCCGTCAGTCAAACTTATATCTTGGCAAAAAGTTTTGTAATTGATTTTCTGTTGAGGGTAGAAGCCTTTTTAAATATAGGAAAAGAAATCTTGTCTCAGCACCATGGTTACTTTCACATCATCTCTGCATCACAGTTGAGAGCTGCCATGTCGGTAAGAGCTTTACATAGTGTACCCTTATCACTGGCTTGAATGTCCTATACTTTTAGAGCTTTCTAATGTTTTTTAAACACTTTTTACTTTTAAACCAACATATCACTTAAGGGTGCTGTGGTTATATAGTAACATTTTTTTTTTTTCAGCTTTAGTGCAACATATTTCTATTTGTTGATGTAATTTCAATTAATCAGCTTTCAAACATGGTCCTCCAAGTGTTAACATAAGGACCTATTATATATTTGTTATGGTAGCCTGCTTTATTAAGTCCAAAACTATTTGTATTGTGTATCAGTAATCATTATGTTTGAATATACAGTTTTGTTCAAGCTTAAGCATCCTGTAATGTATCATTTTCATATACTTTTTGTGATTGTAGGAAAACAGATCATTTTTCCATGATTGGAGACGTGCCAGTCTGCATCGGCTACATCATGAACTTGTCAGATTAAGAGCATTTTCTTAGTTGGTATTCTCTTAGTCCACATACTGTATGAATTACATTCAGGGGCTTTTGGGTTTAGTGTCGTGACTATTTAATCTTAACTGAGGTTAATGGAAGTTGACTTAAAACAGATGTTTTCGATACAATGATGTTTGCAAGTAGCAAAAACATCTCAAAGCTCATCTTGGAACACATAAAGCAGCCTTAAATTTAGTTTCTGGAATGGCCCTGACATCCCCCTGTTGAAAATTAATGGACTACGCTTAAATGCCGGGCTGGTAAAACGAACTAAATTAGATGAGCTTAACCACTTCTGCCAAGCTGAGTGGTCAAATATCCAGCTGGGACCAATGCCAGAACACTGCTGATGATTACAAAAAATGTGTGATTTCATTACAACTTGCCAAGAATCATTTATCAATTTTCTAAATATCAGTGATAGCACGTGTGTCAGCACACACACAGAAACTTAAAAAAAAAAAGGTTAGATAGAAAGACAAAGTGAGTGAAGACTTGTTTGCTGGTTAAAGTCTGTAAAATATAGTTTTTCATTGATCATAAAAAAGCCCAAATTGATATGATACCCATGCCTTTCTTTAGTTTAAGTAAATTAAAAGACTTAACTATCTCCTCTGTATCGGAAATGCTGTTTAGCAAGAAAAATATCCTTATCTTAAACCAAATGATTGATACTAGAAACACAGTATTTCACTTAGACAAGTATAGGCAATCAAAGCTTAATCTAGTTCTGATGCTTGTGAGACTCTTTCAAAGCAACAGTATTCATCTTGGAAAAATATAGTTTAAACTGTTTTCCTACGTAAATCAGCTTTAGCTCAGAGATAATTCCATCTGGTTTTAAGTGTTGATAAAACCTTTGCATTTAAGCATCTCTTTTGTTCTTGACACTGTCATTTTCATTTTTAAAGATAATCTTCCAAACTGCAGAAGCAGATAACACTTTTGGAGACTACGGATGGCTGTTGGCTAGATTTTACTGTCAGCAAAGAAACTGGCCCATTAACTTCTGAAGCCCTCTTTGGCAAAGCTCCATATCCTCTTCCATCGCTATCAAAGGGCTATTTTTCCCCGACTAGTCCCACGCAAATCTAACAATGAATGGAGGATAAGA